AGTGCACCCATCCTCATAGTCACAAGATGGCCCTAGGGCTCTAGCCATCGTGACCACATCCCCGGAAAGTATCAGGAGTAGAAATGAGGAAAGAGCAAAAGGCTGTGCCCCTTTAAAGAGCTTTCCTGGTGACTTCATTTTGTATCTCATCAGCCATCCCTATCTGTTAAGGGAGGCTAGGAAATGTCACTTCCCAGGGAGGCTCACCAGATGGAGTTCTGTTGCTAAAAAAGAGACTGGATTGAGGAAGGAACTAGCAATTGTTGGCCATCCCAAGGGACTGATGTGGGGGCTGTGCTAAAGGAGCATCACAGAGGATGGAGGCCAACAGATATAGAGATGGAGGGCTCCCTGATGACCCTCTCTGTAGGAAAGATACCTACCTCCTTACAGAGAGGCCCCTGCAGGTGACTGTCTACCAAAGCCAGGAACCACGTTCTGGAGTTAAAATTTCCTTCCTCTCAGTCTAGTTTCTGTGGGATTCTGAGTGCTGGAAACCCCCAGGCACGTCTGCTATAAGAAAATGCTTGTGTTCAGTGACCTTATCAACAGAGGGGGCAACAAAAGGGGGGGGGGCTTCTGGAATGCTGGTGTTACTGAGCGAGAGCAGCACAGTCTATTTCTGGACCTAATGACAATGTGACGATAAGGCCACTTAAACAATTATTTGCATTGTAGGTCTCTGTTGTGTAGATTTCCCAAGAGAAATAGCTGTTCTGGAGGCGGTCGATTTCATGCATGGCTCACTTTAGTTTATGGATTTAAATTAACGTAATGATGGAGCGCCTGCTGGCTCAGTCCGTTAAGCATCCAACTCTTGATTTCAGCTCAGGTCATGAACTCAGGGTCGTGAGATCGAGCCCGGTGTCAGGCTCAGTGCTGAACGTGGAGCCTGCTGAAGATTCTGTCTCCTGCTCTCTGTCCTCCCCTCCCCCCATGCTTGCGTATGCTCTCTCTAAAAAAAATAAAATAAACCCAAAACCATAATGGAAACTATTTTAATTTTAATAAAATCTATATTATATAGGGGCACCTGGGTGGCTCAGTCATTTGAGCGTCTG